GTTTCGTCGATAAAGCCGCCAACAACCACGATCTGTCCGTCCCGCGCTGCGCACGCGTGTCCTGCGCGAGCGGGAGGTTCACTGCCAGACGTGTCGACTTTGATCCAGGTAAATGACGGAATCGTCAAGATCCACAAATCGCTGTACTGCGTCTGTTGGCCTACCGGGAGGAGGTTTTGTCCACCGTACATGTAAATGTTGAAGGAGCTGGCGTCGGGTGCCGAGAAGACAACGGCACAGGGGTTCACGCGCACTTGGGGTTTGTCGTTGCCAGACGTTTCTTGATGGTACCATTGACTGCTCGCAATATCGTATACGTCAATCGTGGTCATAGATGAGAAAGCATCCGTGGTGTCGTTGGCGCCGACAACTCCACCTCCCAGACCCAGCAAAATCCCCCCTGGGCCCCAGCCGGGAACGTAGACGAGAACACCATCGCCACGCTCCGTGAATCCTTCTTGATTTTGTTCTCCGGCCCACGTGATATTACGGTATGCGCCGCTGTCTGGCGCGCCGGAGTTGTGTAGGGATTCAACCTGAACGTTCGCGTAACCGGGATGTGTGAACTCGAGTAGGCTCTTTAGGTACACTCGAGGAATTTGATTCGACCAACCTGGTGTAGTGCCCCAATCGAGATGACCACCGAAATACCAACTCAAACCCAGTTCAGGTACAGATACTCCAGCTCCTTCTGCTGCACGCTGAACGGGTGCACCTGCTGCATCAGAGTACTGGCCAGCAGACGTTGTCGGGTTTTTGAATTCGGTCCAGCTGGACGAAGCTATATCGTACATCCAAGTTGAAACAGCCGACGGGTTAACTGACGGAAAATCAAATTCGCCTCCATACAGAAAGAGATGCTCGAAGTCGTTCCAGAGATATCCCAACGATACGGCTGGCGGGCCTTCGGGTTGGGGCAGCCCGCTTATGGAAGGGGAGCTAATATCCCACGACTTCGTTAGATCCACGGTAATGAAGTTGTTGTCTGCTCATTGTTAGTGCTAGATTTTGCCGCGTGGAGTCGATAAGGTACGTACTCCATGTGCTACTCGTCTGATCAGCCGTTAAATTCGCTCGACCACCGTAGTAATAAAGCGTCCCATTCAGAATAGCGCCTGTCATTATTAGCATCTACCTCGCCTTACGCATCGTGTCCGGTATGCTTACTTTGCGCAGCCCACCTCTTGCAAACATCTGTTGGGCTGATTGCTCGATTTTCTACCACCGATCTTATTATGGGTTCCCGAATCACTCCCGCATCTGCGCCATTGACTTCAACCTTGCGACGGCCACTGTTATAGCCTATGGCAGGAAGGACTATCGCAACCAGCAAGGCGATCATAGTAACTCTGTGTATCCCAGAAACCGAAGTGGGAGGCGTAGTTGCAGCCGCTTTGATCTGCGGTCGTCTTTCCGGTATCAACTTCCAAAGCCACCGAGGTTTTTCCCGTATCGGCTTTCCCCCTATTGTATGTCTGCGTTCATACGCTGGGGTTGTCGGCTCTGGCGGCCGCCTCGTAGTCTCATTGTACTGTGTCTGCTTGTTACTCTGTCTACCGATTGAATCTTCGGCGTTTCCTTCATCAAGTCCCAGCCCAATTTCCCGAAACACTGACTTCCTCCCTTTCCGAATCTTGCCGCTCATAGGAAACGCCGGAAATCTTGAGCCCTCTTGTAGCCTGTCGGAGGTGACTTGAGAATTAAAACGCGGTCGTTCGATACTTGGACGCTGTTCGCCTGTATCTGAAGTGCTATGGCAAGCTCGTAGGGAGGTCATAACGATAAAGTTTCGCCGTAAGTATACAAATGAGCATCTGACATTTCTTATGATTCAAGTTCTTGGGTTTTGCGTGATACAAAGGTGTGAAAAAAGGGTTGACATGGAAAATATGAGGTCACAGCGAACCCCGAGGCTTTCTATGTATACTAGGTATGCAAGGATTGCAGGGTCCGCCACCGTAGCACTATGGCATCAGTCTAATGTACGATCAACAGTCGAATCACGATACTAGCGTACCTAGTTTTATTAAATGAGTTCTCCAACTAGGCTGTACTCGACCAATGCCTTCAAGCGACGGGGGGTTGAACTGGGCCTGGCTCAACTACATCATACCTTACCTATCTGCCTATCTAATAGATGAATACCCAAGCATGAAGTGGACACACACCTGTTCGGAACGAGCTTACCCCGGATTAGAACAGACAACCCTTGACCCTGTTTCGATACCGGTGGTCGCTCATTGCCGCTTTAGGACTGCCCGTCCGGAATGACACGATTTGATTGGGCATCACAAACAGAGCGCGTCGAAAAATGACGACAACAATTCTAAATCTGGTTTTTGCAAAGCGACCGGGCCAAAATCTCCGATCCCACTATGCAGCGCATCGAGCGACTAAGAGTTGGCGAGATGAGATGTCAGATGTCAATCGCTTAAAACAGGCGAAGCCCAGCCACAACTTCAAACCACGCCTCAGCCGCTGCGCCATAACTACTGGAACGTTGGATCATCCAAGCAATTCACATCATTACGTAATATCGAGTTGGGGTAGGAGTTGTGTTTAATCAAAGTGACAACACAGGAGCTGAGAGAGCTGCTCATATTTCAGGTTGGGCTAAGACTGGGTAGAGTTGGAACGAATTTCTTCATGATAAAGTCTATAAGCATGCTCTCATGTTATCTATACATCTCGACGAGATGTAGATAGATCGAGACGCAGTTCTAAAAGCGAAAGATGGAAATCTAGACCGTAATGTATACCATCTCGGGCCTGCTCGGGCATCTATCTACACGCTTAGTAATCGATGACTTCGCATCACATATGTATGTTGAATCTCGAATCATCTTCGCACCCACATTCCCATCACCACGTCTCAGCATCGGCAGCGCTAACAAACCTGGTGTTCAGGCTTCCGTATCGTCACAAAGCCGCCGACGTTTGCTCTACAGGTCCGACTGTAGTTTTCAAAGGTCTCTTCCGAGTACCAAGCCACGTGTGGTGTTGTTACCAAATTGAGGTTCGCCGTATCCGGTGCGAGCAGAACGTTGATGGAAGAGTCCGCTGGTTCCTGAGAATAAACATCTGTACCCGCCCCCGCAATCTTCCCTTCCCGCAGCGCAGAGAGAAGAGCCTTCTCGTCCACAATACCACCTCGGGACACGTTGATCAGCAGCCCGTAGGGTTTCATCTGATCGAACTCCGGCCCAGAGATGAGGTTGAGCGTCTCGGGTGAACGCGGGAGACAAACTATTAGGACTGATGAGTCGCGGATTACTGTCTCGAACGGGACGCGACCCTCTGGGGCCGGAGCACCTTTGCGCCCGGCAACAACAGTCTTCATGCCCAGTAATTTAGCTGTCGATTCGACATTTCTTCCGATTGCGCCATAACCGATGATGCCCACGAGCTCCTCGCGGCATGTCCTCGGCGGTTTACCATCGGGACCATCCATGGTAGCCTGCTGCGATCCCTTGACGACCCAATCGCCAGCGCGAGTTCGTGAGTTCGTGAGCATGATAGAACGACGCGTTGCGAAATAAAGCGCGAGCACATGCTCAGTCACCGTCGTGACGTTACAGTAAGGGGTGTTGCCCACAACTATTCCTCGTGCCCGGCATGCTGCCAAATCCACAGCGTCTGTTCCCGAAGCAATTATAGATATCACTACCAGAGATTCGAGATCAGTTGTTGTGCCATGCGTTAAATGCTCTAACTCGCCTCAGAAATATAGGGGCACAATTGGGCCGACGAGGACAGGACTTGGGAAATCGTACTCTTCAGGCGTGGGGATACTTCGGCACTCAAAATCTCTGCCGTCAATGGCAGGATTGTCGATATCACAATATCAGCATCGTGAACCCGCTCCGCTATCTGGTCAGGCCTGGTCCGGTAATAGTCCCGGAATTCACAAGTATGCCCCGCTGGAAGTTCAAAGTCGGGCAGCGGACAGAAGAACGTCTCTAGTGCGACAATAATCCAATGGGTTTGTGATTCGGCCATCTTAGAGCGGGTTAGTGGCTTAATTAGCTGCACATGAATTCGAGTATATATGATTGGGAGCCTTGCAGGATTGTTTCGCGCGTTTGACTGTAGTTGAATTTGCTGAAATATGCTCGTACTCCGGGACCGGTGATTGGGTTTGTCATCGAAGGGCGTAACCACGCCGCTGAAGTGAAGCTTAGTCTCCACCTCACCGGTCATCACTGCTCATTCGAGTGTACAACTCCCCTCTATTGACGACTTGAGGTCACGATATGACCCCTAATTGAATCACACTCTAGTTTTGAGATTTAAAGGATCATGAGCAATACGATGACTGGCCTGACTCGTTCGTGTCAACGAATGTACGCTTTTTCCAGGCCATATTTATACTTTATTTTTAGAGATGCTTCAAAATACAATAATACCTATAATTTATTCCCGAAAAAAAAAACCCGTAAGTCAGGTCACCGCACTCGATGATATACGCGTAAGCACCCGAAATACAAATGCGACGTTTGTGTTCTACATGTCGGACTTTCTCGTTCGACACGGAATTGTCTTTAACGGGCAAAATGCTCTATGTTAATCCTTGGCATCCTTGGCCGCAGTCACCATCTATAAATTTAGATTTGAAAACGCTCATAGCACATGCCCCCCACGTGATCTCACTCCTGAGGCAGACTTGCTGGCTCGCTTTGCGTTTACTTTTACATTGACCCTGAGACAAAATGGTTCAACTATATACAGGTTTTCCACAAGCTATTATTTACCACACATACTGACTCGAGTCGTTGACTAGACCTCTGACCATCTGATACAAGAAAATTAATACTAATATACAAATACAAAAGAAATATGAAAAAGATATGATAACAACAAAAGATACGGGTCTGGCCGGGGATTGAACCCGGGACCTCTCGCATATTAAGCATAGGGTGAACCCTAAGCGAGAATCATACCACTAGACCACCAGACCTTGCAAGCGAGCACCTGTTGCCAAGTGCGACGACCTGCGAGAACGACAACGACAGGATTCGAACCTATGCCCCCGAAGGGAAATGATTTCTAGTCATTCGCTTTGGACCACTCAGCCACGTTGCCTATGTTTGATGTGTGATGATAGACGGCTCGTGGAATGGAGTTATGTATGGGGGCGGTCTCGGCTCTGCGTGCCGTTGTGAGGTTAGGGTTGGCGCCAAGGGAAAAAATGGTTGTGGGCGTGTGTGTGATGGATCTGGAGGGTAGACAAACAAGCTGAGTGGCCAGATTAAGGTTGTATTAGGTGTGGAGTTGTGTAGGGTTAAGTGAGCTAAGTCTGGTCCAAGAAGAAAATTCGTTATGGACTTGTTACCTTACCCACTTGATTATATAATATTCAAGCTACAATGGTCACTGTATTTCAAAGTAGAATTATTTTCTAAAAAGGAAACAAAATGAAATAAAAAATAATGCAGATTAAGTTGATAACATGAATCAGTCCAGTGCTGGCGTTATCAAGGAGAAAGGTAGGGAAGAAAAAGAAGAATAAAAAAATGAGGGGGGTTGCTTCTCCTTGTTAACACAGGAGGCATCAGGAATTGAGCCCGATGCGGGGGTCGAACCTGACGATATCTTGTTAGTCATATTTCAGTCATCAAGGGTTTAAATACGCTACTCACCCGCAACCTTGAGATTAAGAGTCTCACGCTCTACCGATTGAGCTAACCGGGCGTCGTTGTGGGTTGTTGGTTGAAGATTCCGTTCATCAATCATCTTCTACTGATCGGACTAGCCGAGCGTAGTCACACGCTAGGGTTGGACATTTATTCTAGTGTCTCCGAGAAGAGGCGTACGCCGATGGGATGTCTTAAACCCATAGCATTGGTAAATCTGACGTCCGAAGGTGTGGTAAGTCCATTTAGTGCTAACAAAAGCAGTGTTTGGTCTAGTATATAAAACCCAAAGCTGTATTATTGGGTAACGGGTAATATCAAAAAAGAGGTCAATTGTTTGGCGGTCCAGGGATGACACACAACATGAGACAACACTCCGTATTCATGTCTAAGGAGAAAATAGGGATGGCCTAACATTAAACCTGTACGGCGATCCTACTTCACGAGGACTTGATATAGTGCTGGTAGTTGTTTCTAAATATTACCTCAGCCACCCGAATATATCGAAAGTTGCCGAAGAAGAGCGGATGGATTCCAGTCATTCGATGGCTATGGGCGTTTAGTATATGCTACAACGACGCTATCAAATATTGAGTTATGACTCTCTTCCCCCTGCTAAGTATCTAACTTCAATAGGTAGGGAAGACCATCTTGGAATGTTTCTTAGTTAAGTATGAAGTAGTAACTCTCACATTACGTGACATCTGTCCGTAAGTTATATTCATTAATATTGCAACCTTGACATGTTGTTGACTACATTCTGCCTTATTATTAGGGTTTATTAGCAGTAATGACTCAATATAAATCCAGGACTACTACTATACTTATTTTCTTGGGGTACAGATGTTAATCTACATATAGTCTACCGAGCTGGATTCATACTGGCTGAATGTTTGTTATCATCGATTGAAATACAGCAAGCATATCCTCCAAGCCATGTGATATAATCGTAGCTCCATGCACTTCCATCCTATTTTGGTTATCTCTAGTTGTCAGTTCGAAAAATTATTTTATCTTAGCCAACCTCTTAATTTTGGGGATCCATTGTTATTACAAACTTCGCATTGCACACTTCAGCTGCAGACCGAGGACATCAAAACGTGATAGTACACTGACTAAAATTATCTTCGCTATAATCGCTTCTGTCTCCTGCTACATCAATCCTCTCCATTTTCATGGGTCATACAAACCCGTTTAAGAGTCCTTAGCCGTAATGCTAGTCTCGCACAGTTCTAGATCACCGTAGTATTTCTTGTGCTCCGGGACATCAGCAAAGTTCTTCATGTAGGCGACCAAGTTTGGCAACTCCTTGCGCCACTCAGTACTGATTATGTACTTGAAGCCGAAATACAAAAGGCTGGTAACCATCAAGTCGGCCATCGTCAGTTGGTCTCCAACGAGGTACTTCTTTCCACCCTGTAGGGACACTTCAAGGTACTTGACGTCTCGCTTCAAGGCAACAATGTGGTCATTGAAGCGCTTCTCATCGAGAGTATACAGCTTCACTATTTCATTGTATATCAGTACTTCATTTATCAAAGAAATCGGTGAATAGGACTGCTTGACAAGCTTTAGTGAATAAAGAGAGTATTACTTACAGACTGTCATCGCAATCGGTACGAACGCGTTGTTGAACAATTCGCCCTCGGAGAAGGCTGCCCATTGTGTGATAAGGGCTTGTGTCTTGGCATCTATGAGGCCGAACATTTAGTCCCGTTGAGCACTACGCAACAGCAAACACCATACCTGTGCCAAGGAGTTGGCCCGCTTTCGGGCCAGACTTCGCTATGTAAGTGGCAATTGCGATGCTCTCAGTCACGCAGAAGCCATCGGCGCCCTCAAAGGCCGGGACCTTGCCAAGCGCGAACTTGGACAAGAATTCCGGAGTTGTGTTGGTTTGGCGCATTGTGTATGGCGGAATTTCTATCTCCAGACCATTCATATCGGCCATGATCAACGCCTACACCGCACCATTAGCAACTTGCCGTTGAGGAATGAATGGCTCGTTGTAGGAATAAGAGGGGAATGGAAAGTTGTCTTACACGGTTGACACGCGGGTTGTTAGGATATGTGTAGATCTTGCCGAAGGGAGCCATGTCGAAGGTGCTCTATGGAGGTTGATCGTTGGTAGTGGTAGTTCTAGTTAGAGCTCAAGGAACGAGTTGAGGGCGATGTTGTGATTTGGTGGAGTATGTTGTAATCGAGGATAGTATAAACTGATAGAGATGACTTGACCCGAAACCCGGGCCACCCCTCTTTTAAAGTTTTCATTACGGTCGACGGAGTACGATATATCGGTATCTCATTTGTCAGCTACCGCTTCCCGTCCCGCATGGTAGTAGACCGCTAGAAATCGGCAATGGCCAAACACTTCGCCCGGATGGGATTACTTTCTCCCCTCTCCATAGTAGTCCTTTGACATCCGCACACTATGAGGCTGGCTAACAGGTTCGAACATGAAACAGCGGGGAACATACTGGGTTTTTCTTTTCGTCCCGTGCATTAGTTACATTTCGGACCAGACATCGCGTATGGCGGGTGGAGAGATGATTCAGGTATCCTATGTAGATCCACCTCGGGTACCCAGTCTACTTAACCTAAATACGTATATGTACCTAAGTAGAGACTGCGATATGGATAAGGAAGCCTTTGCTGTATGCTAAGGGACGTTTCAACCGCCTTGGATTGGACATATTGTTGCGCTACATACTAGAGATTTCTGCTAAAGAGTCAAGGCTACATTAGAGCCGCGAACAGGGATACCCCTACAGGATTTGTCTATGTAAGACATCTTCCGCTAAACCTTCGATCTCTCACCCTGAGATCTGGCAAGACCTTGCTATAACCGATGCCTACGATGTTTTCGAAGGACCGCGGCGAAAATAACTTCTCCGCATTTGTAAGCTATATGCAGGACACGGATGGTTTGAGCCTAAAACTCCGGTCTCCGAGTTGTTGTGTTTAGGGGTATGGTTGTAAGAAAGCCCGGCACGGTAATCTCTTGCCATTATTACTAATTGGCTCTGTAATATGAAAGGCTGAGTGTCGTTAAGGGGATTAGAAATCTACAACGGAAAGGCTTTGGTGAATGGATGTTGTTGTGCGTCGACAGGGGATATAAGCAACAAGGTTATAGTTATACATGTGACTTTAATATGTAGAGTTGTCAGCGGTTGAATGGCAAACATTGATAAATAAGCTACATAAGAGCTTGTTGAACCGGCTTGAAAGCTACCTAGTAGTTCAGAGCGTATTGAAGTAAACCTACTACTACAATGTACAGAGAATAATTAGTTCCAAGGTTGTCTCGAGGATGGAGTTAGTTGCGACAGCTTCAGTGGTAGGCAGCGTGACTAAGTACTTACCTATAGGAGCTAAGTCATCTTGAGCTGTCCCCACTTGTTCCGGGCGGGATCCCGCCAGCTCTATTCAAGAACGGGACATTCCCGAAGGTACTCTAGACGGGGCTGCGCTTTTGTACTTGTAGATGATGTTACTGCGGACGGATAAGACTAGCTCTTGAAAATGACGGTCATCGAAATTGATGTTATTTCCGATTTCGTCTGTGCTGTACGTGCTTACTTCTACCCTATTGTCGGCTGGACTATGACCCGGCTTACGATGCTACTAGTGGTGCTATATTGGCAAGCGAAAACTCGAGAGCGCCATCGTCTTGTACCAGAAGGTCTATCCAGGAGGAAGAAATGATGTATTCCAGATCAGGTGGCGGCCTTATTATCTAGGCTACAATACCTTCGGCCACAGTGTTGAGAAGAGTGAGCTCGCCAAAGTCAAGTTGGCGAACTGGAGCGAGGAGAAGAAAGCGGCTGCTACGAAACGCGTGGAACAAGCAGGACGTGCCGTGGGAATTCACTTTGAGCACGGCGGCTTGATTGGGCCTCACACACGAGATGCCCATCGCCTAGTATATCTCAGCCGCAGTAAACCACCAGAAATCACAAATGCCCTAGTTGAGAAGATATTTCAGGCGTACCATGAGCTCGAGAAAGATATCTCGTCGCTCGATGTACTACGCGAAATTGCGCTAGAAGCAGGCCTGGAAAGGGCCGAGGTCGACGGATGGCTGAGCTCGAATGCCGCTGCTGACAGTATTGATGAGGAAGCAAAGGAGTTCCGTGAGAAAGTGACGGGTGTCCCGTCTTATCTTGTCCAGGGCCTATATCATGTGGAGGGAGCTCAGGATGCAGACGATTTTATGGAGGCGTTCGTCAAAGTAAAGGAAGGCAAATAAATGGAAAAGGTTATGTGGTATGGTTCAAATACATTTTTATTATACCTCATGTAGGTAACTTAATCATGCCGCAACAGGTACCTACCCAATATATAAGAGAATTGCACAGGTAGATTGGTTTGACAGGGACAATTGTCGTTAACAGTGACTCTTATTACTTGCCTTTTCGGTACCTGTAAGGAAGGTACGAGGACAAT